AAAAAAAAAAAAAAAAAAAAAAAAAAAAAAATGGTCGATCATCTTTTCAACCATACACAAGTAAACAAGATACTTTCTTCCTTAAGGAAAATATATTTCAAATCAACACGTGTCCAAAAATTCAAACAAGGTCAATTTTGAGAAGCACTACTAAATGTGCCAATAGGTTTTACTGGATCTCTTAATGCATGACCACATTCCCTCTTACGACCTCATGTTCTTTGAGATTTCATCAACAAAAGCTGAGTATCTATGCAAATCAAATCTGTCACAAAGCTCTATTTTATCTATACGAATCCCTGTAGAATAGATAAAATGCGGTTGCATTATTGCATATAAATCCTTCAAGATACTACCTATTAAAAACTGAAAATATCTGTGTTGGATGTGTACCAGAGACGGTACTTTACCAAAGTGCATATAACATAGAACCAGATATGCTCTTGCAAGGGTGCTATGTGTTTCATTTCTAGTACCTCTTTTTGGGGGGCTCGCATTTAGGATGTATTAAGAGTTTATTGTCCAAAATGAGGACAGCAGGCCTCTCAACCCTAATAATAAAGGAGGAGAGTATCATTCAGATGCCGGAAAGGCCATTATCAGGTGTCTGCAGATATTCTTTTAACTCAATTGCCAGACGCAAGGGCCTAACCTTAGACAGTGTGTGTGAATTTACAACATTAAATGTGTGACTCGCACCCACTCTTCTGTTAGTAGAGAAAGGAAGGACATATATTCAGTAATTAACACACATCTAAACTCATTGCCTCTAAGCGTTAGCTAATTCTTTTTTATCAGATCTTGATAATACCTGGGCAATGTGTTTTGCAGAGATGAGCTCAACCATAACCATAGAAGCATGCCATCCTTGTTTCAGGCCAAAAATTTCAAGGCAACCATCATCTGCATGGGCTTCCACAAAACCCCTCTATGATTTCACAGGAAAACAAAAAGAAAGCATTGTTACTCTTGATGATGTATAACAGTTGGTAGTATGTTATATGTTAGCTTTCATCTTCAAATCAGATGTGAAAAGCGGCTACAACTTCCTATCTTTATTCTGAAGTTTATCACAACCACATTCTAGGTATGGATAAAGCATGACAGTTGAGAATATATGATATACTGCACTAACACTGCCATCTATTTGTTAGGTTTAAAAATTAGAAGTTGCAAAACCTTAGAGAAAAACATCACTAGGGCCTTGGGCTTTTTTGCTCAAATTATTTGTTGCAAGTAGAGAAACTGCACAATTCGCAGAACCTAAAACTGAGTGACTAGAAGCTCCATCATTTTCTCTGATGACAGAACTATACAACAAACAGTACAACAACAACAACAAATCCAGTGTATTCCCACAAGTAGGGATACAACAAACAGTACATAAAACTTAAAGTTGACTAGAAGCTGAAAACAGTATTTCTGAATATAGACCATCTTAATATTAATATAATATTGCTATTATTATCAATTTAAAAAAAAAATATGGACCATATTCAGAACTTTTGCAAACTGACATTTTGTAGAGTTATTTGTCTGACAACCTAAATAAAACAATTAATACTTTCTATTTAAAATGTTAGGCAATTTCCAACCAAATAACCCTATTTTACAGTGGTTTCAGAAATGACTAATTTAATTATTAATTACTGAATCATGAGCTTTATCTCCTAAAAACAAGTCTATTTTCCCAAATTCATTAACTACCTGTGACCAAATTTAAGTGCAATAAGTTTCAAATTGATCTCTATATAAATAGTGTAAATTAGAGTGGATGAAAAAGGACCGATGTAAAATGGAAGTGTGATATGCCAAAGCCACTATGTCCACACAGCTAACTACAAAAGAATACCTTCTCCAAGTACTCTGGCTTCAAATGACCCCATGGATTCCTTCCACCGCCATAGCTAGGGAGATTCAGAGTGACAATAGACCGAACACTACAATACGATAGAACGACAGGTAAAATGAACGCATAAGTAAAAATTTGATGCATGTAAAACTCAGTCCATTAGCACTATATTTCATATTACAAAATAATATTATCGACTATTTGTCAAAACATCATAATGACAAGAGATATATAATAGTAAGCTATCCTGGCAATTCTGCATCACATGATAGACATAAAGTACAACACTGTAATTAACACTACTACAACAACAAAAAACTCAGTGTAATTCCACAAATGGGGTCTTGGGAGGGTAGAGTGTACGCAGACCTTACCCCTACCTTGTGAGGGTAGAGAGGTTGTTTCCGATAGACGCTCAGTTTAAGGAAAATGAGAAAGAAGCAATAGCAATAACAGCAAGCAGTAAACACTGTAATAAACACTACAGGACAAAAATCAACCTTGAAGGAACAGGGACTTGCTCCCACTTTGAGCTGTTGACCTTCTTAACATATAGTCGCAAAATATTATTCAGTCCCCTGCATCAATAAAAGTAAGCACAGTATCTTGAGAAAAAATATATCAGGGATGAGAAGCACGATTGAGTACCACTACTTTAAAAACAATCTCTCTGAAGTAACAATTACAATAACAATAAAGGAAAAAAATATATTTCCTGATATCTTTCTTGAAATGAAAAGAAAAACTTGAAATCACACCAAAAACAAGTAAATTGTTTCCAGAACAGTTTCGAAGGTAAAAAAAAGTAACATCTCCAAGCGTATGTGTTGGAAGGAAAAGAGGGGACACAGAATATACATGACCATTCATGATAATAAAATACTTCCAGACCAATGCTAAGTTATCCGTATATAGAGGGAAACAAGTAACAACACATGGCAAACAATATCTAGTGAACTTCGTAAGAGCAAACAGACATTCACTTTCTTTGAGATCGATTTGAAATCATTTTGATTATTAAATATAGTAACTGGTCACAAAGTTTTCTTCTGGACTCCTTGGATCCTTAGGGAAATACTTTTTGCTGGCTTCAAATAGTTTTTGAAGATTTCCCTTTGCATTTGGTCTAAGAATGAATTTACATCTAGTTTAAAAAATAAAAGCTGCCATTTGTTTGAGGGATAGAGCAGTACTCTTCTCTAATTTCTGATGAAGAAAATTAGCAGTACTCTTGTCTAATTACACCGAAACGTTGCTGGTGCATTAGATTTTTTAGTTCTCAGATTTGCAGCACAAAAGCTGATAGTTCAATTTAACTTAAAATGCATTCGTCTTAGAGTTTCTCATCGTCCACGCCGATCCTGTTATATTAATTTAAGGATAAGCAAGCAAATCGATAATCAGGAAGATGGGAGAAAAGAAAGAGCAGAAAGCATGATGTCACTAGTGAGAGCTTCAACAAACAATTAGACAAGCTACAAATTGGCAAGTGAAACACATGATTATGCTGAAACACAATTGTCACGCTGTAAGAGCCAGATGAAGAAGCTCACAGCTAAACTTCAGTATACGAATACGTGCCAAGAGAAATAAATTTGGATATTTTATGAGATGTCAATCTTCATGCCAAAACTGCATTTGTGGTTTAATTGTTGGAACATGAAATAAAGTGGTTCTCTTGTGCAAGACTCACGTATTGCTAAGGAAAGGGACAATTTAATTGAATGTTTAAAGTAATCTACACAGACTTTTGAAGGTGGACTTTTGGAGTCCTTATTAATTAATCTCTTAACACAGCCTGCAATATTTTATATATATATATATATATATATAT